ATATATATATATATATATATATATATATATATTTTTTTTTTCCACATCATTCAATAATAGATCGTCAATATAGCTTTTATCAAAATTACATCAATTATTGAATGTGTAAATTAATTATTATGAATATATAGTTGTGTTAAATTTATATTTATATAAAAATTATTTTTATTTTAATGTATATAATTTTTAAATTATTTTATCTTTATAAGTCACAATCATTTATAATTTATTTCAAGTATTCTCTTTTAACAAGTTAGTCTATTATTTTTATTTTATTTTTTAAAATATAAAGAAGTACGGAATATCTCTTTTATAGTATTGTTTAGTGTGCGAGTTTTGTTATATATAATATTTTTATTTAATACATAATATGCCACTACACTTATTATAATTCAATTACTACATAATGAGAAAATAAAATAATATACAACTAATCTAGGGTTATCATATAACTAATACATAATCTCATGGACACAACTATGTAAGGAGGGGAAAAAATACTAGAACCTATTCATAAATCTTATGATATAGATAAGTCTCTCACCTCATGTTCAACTTCAATTACATCATTCAACCACGTCTAGTGTGGTCAAGTTAGAGATGATTCTCTTTCCTCGTGTTTAATGTCGTTAATCATGCACTTGACATCTGAAGAATGAAAATTTTTGACTTTGAACCACACACTCCATGCCATGAAGGCATGTATGACATAATATCAATTTTTGCACTTATATAAAAATAAATTTTTTGTTCAATCTGCTTGAAACTTAGCAAATCTCAAACATACAATGCACAAAACAAAATATAGGGATCACAAACAGTTTGAAAATAACTTAATTTACAACATGCAACCATTGAAACCAAAGATCATCACATCTCTTTCAAAATGCAACAAAGAACCCTGACACTACACATTCATCCTCTCATTTAGATTTTTCCATTCCAAAAACAGACATCAATAATGGAACTAAACAACAATTTTTCAACATACAATCCAACACGATCAATTATAGTTCCCTTTACTCATTGTCAACCTCGAATCCGAAAAGAGATAAGAGAAGAGTAGCTTCATACGATTTCCAACTTGAGATTCCAACCTCGAAAACTTGAATTTCCTAACTAGTTAAGTGAATCAACTACAAGAAAAAGGAAAAAGATTTTAAAAAGAAGAAGAGAAAGAAGTTATGAGTTTCGGAGAATTTCTCCCAAACTTTTCTTTAGAGTTTTTAAAATATGAAATTACAAGTTTATTTCTTAAGAAAATTTTTATATACTATTTTTAAAATTAATTCAGTTTATCTTTGACTCGACTACCTTAAAATTAACTTAACCCTTAAAATTTCATTGATTCTAAAGTTTTAAGATATTAACAACGATCAACAATATATCACATAATTAAAAAATGAAGACACCTAAAACTAAAAATTTTACATAAAACTTAATTGTGTTTTATGTATAAAAATACTGATAAATTATTAAAAAAAGTTACACAAGTTTTAACTTAGTTAGTAAATGAATATAAATTAAGTGAGAAAGTAATGGAGGATTTTGGTTGGAGAATTTGCGATGTGTTACTGCGTAGTAATGGAAAGACGAAAAGAAGCAGTAGCGTGATAGCAATATTTATAGAGGCGATGGAAAATTACGAGTCCCCACTCCCAAACACAACACAAAAGGCCTTTTTAAAAATTAATGTTTATCGAGAAAAAGCAAAGATGCCAACCCCCGTGCACGCAGCCCGCCAATGCCTAACAGCGGACGCAGCGAGGGCCCTGGACGAGGCAGTAGCGGTGGCCCGCCGCCGAGGACACGCCCAGACGACCTCCCTCCACGCGGTGTCGGCCCTCCTCTCCCTGCCCATCCTCCGGGACGCCTGCTCCCGCGCCCGCAACTGCGCCTACTCCCCACGCCTCCAGTTCAAGGCCCTCGACCTCTGCCTCTCCGTCTCCCTCGACCGCGCCCCCTCCTCCCACAACCACCTCCCCTCCGACCACCACCCTCCCGTCTCCAACTCCCTCATGGCCGCCATCAAGCGCTCCCAGGCCAACCAGCGCCGCCACCCCGATAACTTCCACTTCACTCACCACCAGCAGCCCTTCTCCGTTTCCTCCGTTAAGGTCGAGCTTCAGCATTTGCTACTATCCATCCTCGACGACCCCGTCGTCAGTCGCGTCTTCGCCGAAGCCGGCTTCCGAAGCTCCGACATCAAGCTCGCCATCCTCCGCCCTCTCCGCCCCCGCGCCCCGCCCATTTTCATCTGCAACTTATCCGACCCCCCGCCTCCGCCTCCGCCGCCGCGCCGCTTCCCTTTTTTCCTCTCCGGCGACGAGAATTTCCGCCGCATCGGGGAGGTCCTCGTGCGGAGCCGGGGGCGGAACCCCTTGCTCCTCGGCGCGTGCGCCGGCGAGGCGCTCCGGAGCTTCGCGGACGCCGTGGAGAAGCGGCGGGAGGGGGCTGTCCCCGTGGAGCTCTCCGGGCTGCGCGTGGTTTGCATTGCGGAGGAGGTGGCGCGTGGGGATTGCGCGGCGGTGGCCGCGCGCGTGGCGGAGGTTGGGGATTTGACGGAGGGGTGTGTGGGACCCGGGGTTGTGGTGAGTTTGGGGGATTTGAAGGATTTTGTGAGGGATGATGAGGTGTGTGAGGGTTTGAGGAGTGTGGTTGGGGAATTGGCGAAGCTTTTGAGGGTTTATTATGATAAGTTTTGGTTGATGGGTGCTGCTGCGAGCTACGAGAGTTACTTGAAATTCGTGGGGAAGTTTCCTTTTGTTGAGAAAGAGTGGGATTTGCAGCTTCTTCCTATTACCTCTGTTAAGCCTTCTGAATCGTATCAGCGTCCCAGGTCCAGGTACACCCTTCTTTTAAATATTATATTAATTCCGTTTCTTCAACTTTCATGTTGTGTATGGATATGTTTATTACTTTTTTAATTTTTTAGTACACGTACCAAAGTTTGAAGCTCTGGGGTATGTTGTTGTTGTTGTTGATGTCAAAGTGTGTTAACTTTGTTTGCTTCTTTATTTATTAATTTTTGTGTTTTTCATAGGATAAACTTTTTTTTTCTTCTTAATTTGAATCAAGTGTTTTTAATTTGCACCACCAAATTGGTAAGGGTTCAAATTTTGACTTGTTTGTGGAGAGCACCTGTTTGGAAGAAGACGACTCACCTTTGAGTTTTTTTAGATTCTCCGAAGGAGATTAGTCATGGTCAACTACTAGTCCTTACAATCATAACAAAAAGTGTTTTTATTTTTAAGACGCTATTGTTGACATTCTAAAGCATTAAGTGTCTACTTGGATAACCTTCTTAAACACTTCTCGAATGGAATATTTTAGAGAAGCTCTATGAGAGAGTTTCTACAAATTAGTTTATGCACAAGTTACTTTTAACTTATGTAAACTTGTTGGTTTTGGGGTTGTTGTGTGAGTAGAATTGTGCAGTGTTATGGTGATGATTTTATGGTTATTTTGAATGAGAAAGTGGACTCGTGATCTTTCACGAAGTGATTAGTTTTGTGCATGTTGTGTCTAAATTGTAGTTTTTTGTTTTACAGCTTAATGGATTCATTTGTGCCATTTGGTGGCTTTTTTTCGTCACAGTCTGATTTGAAAGGTCCTCTGAATGGCTCCTTTTATTGTGTTCCCCACTGTCATCAGTGTGGTGAAAGGTGTGAACACGAAGTGCTTGCTACTTCCAAGGAAAGGTTTTCTTCTTCAGCTGCTGATCCGCTCCAATCGAACTTGCCTCCGTGGTTGCAGGCTGCAGAGTTTGGCACAGCAAAAGGGTTGAATGTGAAGGTGTGTAGCATTCAGATACATCAATCCAGTTCATTATAATTTTGTTTGCATAAACTGGAAAGATAGGGCATTTTGTTTTCCTCAATTGAGTGTGGTTATTTACCAATCCCAGAAAGGAGAAAATTACAAAACTAGATTTAAGGTCAAGCTATGGCCAGGGTAAAAAAACTATGGTCAAGCTTGATTGGGGAATGGACCTATGTGTACTGTGATTCTTGATTTTCAAATTACTTGTTCGCTTTTTCCCTCTAAAACTTGCTTGTGCACAATTGTAGTGAAGACTAAGCATGCCCAATTCTTGCAACAAGAAGCTTTTCTTTGTCTAAAATAGCTGGTTAGTCTATTGACATGTGCTTAAATTTAGTGTTTCAGAGGCTTTAAAACTTTTTTGCTATCTTTTAATTTGTCGAGATGTGTGGTCTCTGAACAGTTTATCAATAAAAATTGAACCGTTTATTTATTTTAAATTTTTTTTTTCAAAGATGCAATAGGACAAATTGTACCTGTAAAATCAAATGGCTCAGATTACCAACTGCTACCTTATTGCATTTGATTTCTTTCTATTTGCTCGTTTGGTATTGGTAGTTGATAAGTTAGCACATCAAAAACCAACCTTCATCTCCTACAAGACATCCTTGCAGATCATTTCATTTGTGAATGTAGCTTTAGCTCTGTTGATTGTATTGTAAATCATCTGCAGTTGCTTTTTACTTTATCAATAAAGTCATCTCCTACAAGACATCCTTGCAGATCATTTGTGAATGTAACTTTAATCCTTTTGATTGTATTGTAAATCATTTGCAGTTGATTTATAATTTATCAAAGAAGTCCTCTGCGTTTTGTTTGTGTAAAAACCACTTTTCTTTCATTCAGTGCAGACCAAAGAAGATGGTGTTATGCTTGATGGTAGTGAATCTGCACCACTGCATAAGAACTTAGACAAGATATGCCAGCATCTGCACCAGCAAGATGGAAATACTTTTCCAACTGTTGTGGGGTTTCACTGTGGTGCTGACAAGAAAAAGGAAGATGCTGACAATTGCAGCATCAAAATTACGGACAAATCACCTAATGAATTCATCAATCTCAACTCCAATGTGCCTGTTGGCATGCAAGTGATGCATATGTCACAATCAAGCAGTTCTTTTCCTGCACTTTTCAAGGCAAAGCAGGAGAAATATCCTTCAAAACTCGCTGAAATGTTCCAGAAAGTGGAAGATCATGAGTCAGGAGACCTAAGATCGTGCAACATGTCCAATTCAAGTGTGTGTGATGGTAGTCAAATGTCTCCAACATCTGTAACTTCTGTAACCACTGATCTGGGGTTAGGAATATGCTCTTCTCCTACCAGCAACAAATTGAAGAAACCTTCTATTCAATATACAATGGAGCCTCCAAAGGAAATCCCAAGTCGATTTTCTTCAAACCTCAATTTGGCTGATGGGAATATCTTGAAGTATCCATCCCAGTCTTCATCCTGCTTAAGTTTTGACTACTGTGGGCAAGTTGATGCAAAAAATCCCAAATTTCTTTTTGAAGCTCTTTCCAAGGAGGTAAGCTGGCAAGATGAAGCCTTACGGGCAATCGTCAAAACAATTGTTTGCAGCTCAACAAAAAGGGTCAAGCATCGTGAGGCAAATCAGTCTGGGGATATCTGGATGAATTTTGTTGGACCTGACAGACTTGGTAAAAAGAAAATAGCTGTTTCTTTGGCTGAGTTATTATATGGGAGCCGGGAAAGCTTCATTTTTGTGGATTTAAGTGCTGAACAAAAGAGGGGATTCAATGTGAAATTAAGAGGGAAGACTACCCTTGATTTTATTGTAGGGGAGTGTTGCAGGAAACCCTTGTCTGTGATTTTCCTTGAAAATGTAGACAAGGCAGATATTCTAGCTCAAAATAGTTTGTCTCAAGCCATCAAGACAGGAAAAATTACAGACTCACATGGACGAGAAGTTAGTGTAAACAACACATTGTTTATTTTTTCTTTCTCAGATTACCAAAATAGTTCGATGCCAACAGGGGGACCTTGCAATTATTCTGAGGAAAGAATACTCAGGGCAAAGGGGGGTGGTATCAAGTTAGAAGTTGAACATGTGATTGGAGACACCAGAAGCCAAAGCAACAGTGTAACTAACAATTCAATAGATGCCATTCCCAATCTAAATTTCCTAAACAAACGAAAGTTGATTGGTGATAATGAATTTCGTGACCCCCATTTACTCTCCGAAACAGCTAAAAGGGCCCATACAACATCAAATTGGCTGTTAGATTTGAATCTCCCAGCTGAAGAGAATGAACAGAAACAAACAAGTGATGGAAACTCTGAACATGGCTCAACTCAGAGCCAAAGCCTTTGGTTACAAGATTTGTATGATCTGGTTGATGAAACAGTTGATTTTAAACCTTATGATTTTGATGCACTTGCGGATAGAGTGTTGAAAGTGATCAGAAGTAACTTCAACAAAATTCTTGGATCCGAGTGTTCGTTACAGATCCAGACAGAAGTCATGGACCAATTGCTAGCAGCTCAATATGTTTCAGACAGGGTAACGGAGTTGGAGAACTGGGCGGAGGAAGTTCTTTGTGGAGGATTTACAGAAATACAGAGAAGGTACAACCTCTCTGCTAGTTCTATTGTAAAACTTGCAACATGTCCAGACCAAGCTTATGGTGTACACCTTCCCCCAAGGATAATTTTAGAGTGAATACCGACCAGCAAATGTTGTATTTTCCATCATATGGATGTATAATTTAGCTGTAGCATATAGTGAAACTAATTTAGCCTTCAATCTTATTATTTTGTTGGGTTTGTTTGTCTTGATTTTAATTGTGTATAATATGTAATCTGCAGCTAGTGTTGTGTGATTATCCTTTGCATATTTAAATCAAATGCCTTTTTTGTTCTTCCCAAGCTGTTGATATAATTGATTAATGCATATACTAATGAAACTGTTTTAGAGTTTAGACCCAAAGATAATAAGTGTTTGTTTTATGATTAATAAGCATGAGGTGTTATAGTCAACCAAGTCTTTTTTTTTTTTTTAATATTTAGCTCTTCTAAAATATGGGATGGTGCATTTCTAGAGAATAAAATTTAGTTATAATTATCAATAAGAAAGTTAATTAAAATTTTAGCTTTACGATTTATTATTCATGTATATGTATTTTATCATAATTTCAATCATTGATTTTTTATTCAATCATTGCTCTTGCACCTTATTCTTTAAATTATTTCTCCATATTTTGAAGGTTCTAAGTTTAGAAATTGTAGAGTGAAAATTATGAAATTTCTTATTAGTCCACTCCATGACTTGGTGTGTTTGGACACCTAAAAACTTATGTTCAAATGATAAAATACATTATGTGTGTTTGAACTTGATCCAAAAGACTAATCTATTAGATAAGAAAGTTTTAAGATTTGAGTATCATATTGAATTTTATTTTTTACTTAATGTGAAACTCTTAATATTATTATTCTCATTAAAGACTATTGTCCCTGTCCCTTTTTCTTTGACGATATCACTTACCTATCTAATTTATAAATAACTCTTTCTATAGTCTAACTCTTACTAAAGATACTAAATGTTAGGATATAAATACATAAGGAAAGTTTAATCTAAAAAATTAGTTCATTAGATGAGAGAAACTCAAAACTTAAATATTATATTGAACTTTATTTTTTATTTAATGTGAGACTCAAATTTAAAAATTAATGCCTAAAAGATTAAGAATCGTGGAAGGCAGAATGAGTAGCTTTTGAGGAGGAGACATGCAGAGTCACGTTTCCGGAGATCTTGTGTCCTCCCTTTTTTTAATGCACATACACCTCAACATAGGTTTCTAATATAGGATATTTAGAATGTGATCTCGGTGGTTTTCAAACCCTAGATCAAAGACGACATCTATCTAATTGTTAAACTGGACATGTGGATAAAAATTGGATACATATGACCTCACTCGTATTAAGCATATTATATCCCTTAACCTTTTTTATTAAATAAATTTGATCGTTGTTATTGAAAGAAAATATATTTTGAGCAATTAAAAAAGTTTTATATATCTCTATTTCTAAAAGGAAAAAAGTTAACTTCCCTATCCTCGATAAGGAGCACATCGTCGTTGGTTTTCCTATGTTTCATTTTATTAGGAATGCTAGATTGGCGCCGTGGAAGAACAAGTTTTTATTACATCCATTTTATGTCATGATAATGTGGAATGGTTGTAGTTTGGCCTCTATTTGATTGACAATCATATTTTTTTGTGCGACTATTTGGTGGTTTTCGTAATATGCAATGGCTAGGATAGAATTTGTTTCCCATTTTCATCTCTATCATGATGGGTTGTTTTGTTTTTGTGGAGATTCCCCCTCCCCCCAGTAAGAGCATGACATCGTTGATTATTATTTAGGATATTTATACACATCTCTATATTTGTATCATACTATCTTATTTTTCTTTTTGTGATTTAGGATATAGTTGTTCAAATTTAAAAAGAGATGTTTTTAAATAAATACTCTTCAAAAAAATTTATTGTTAAATAAGCAGATAAGAATTGCTTCTAAACAAAACAGAAATTACTTATTTTTTAAAAAAAAAAATGGTTAAACAAATATACCTTTAAATACTCTTTTAGACTACAATTTTATAAACTTTACCTTTTTAGTTTTTGTAATTAAAAATATTCTATTTTAGTTTTGTTGTATATTTTTAGAGACAAGGGAAAAATTTATAGATTAAAATTATTTACAATTTAAGTCTATGTATAATGATATTTTACGTGAGTTTCTGTTGGCAGCTGAATATATCATATTTGACATTATACCCGATGGTACCTTAAAAGAGATATTCAAGAACTACAATGCATCCTTAAATTTCAATGCTATATATTTGAATTTTGTTGCATGCTTTGTTCACATAAGTTGTTCTCCTTCACTGCTTGCCCATGTTTTCTTTTAAGACTTCATTGTTGTTACTCATTTTTAATGAAATTACATTGGTTTCTGTAGAGAAAGAGAACTTGGGCTTTATATTGAGAAGTATAGGAATTATGATTGATTCTCAAAAGTTTCAAAATCCAATTTATCTTGTAGTTCCATCAATTAATGGTAAGGTCATTGGTTTATTGATTAACTAACAATACATTAAAAATAACCAATTTTTAAAACACATCATACAAAGTAATTAATAAAAAATATGAAATTATACTAAAATTGGGAAACAAATCTACCTGCTGAAAATGTTTATAGCTGAAAAATATGTGCTGATGATCCGAACCCAAAACCAAAAACATGATTGCTCTCTTGTTTTCAATAAAAAAGAAAAAAAGAAGTATGACATCTTCCTTTCTTATTTGTTTGGTGGAATTGAAAGAGAAAGAAGTAATTCACATTTATGTAGCACAAGTAATACGGTTTGGATCAATGGAATGAATGCATGAATATTTATTTGAATTAATATGTTTTAAAAACATCTTTTATTAAGATTTTGATTAGAATTTATTGATATTATATAAGTTTTATATTATTATATAAATACAAATTATCATATATTGTGAAATTATTTTTTATATAATAATTACTTTAAAAGTCTTATTTAAAATAATTCTTAATTGATTTATAAAATAAAGGTTTTCACATTAAATGCCATGCTGAAATTAATCCCCTTTTTTTGTTTACAGTTAAATAATTTTGCATATTTGTTTTAAAAAAAAATAGGACGTCGTATCCAACTATTTTTTCAACACACAAGATTGCCAGAAGGCCATATTCGAAACAATCCTTGTTATTTTTTAATGAAGAAAACTTACTTTTTGACGAAGAAAACATATATATTATTTCTACTATCACGCAAATTAATTAACAATTAACAACAAACACATGAAAAAAATAATTAATAATTGATAGAATTAATACGAAGACAATTGATGCTACAAACAACTCAACAATGAATATGTCATTTAACATAGGATTATTAAAATTAAATTGTAACATTGTATGTTATACGTTGTTGTTAAATTATTATTTTCTTTCAATAATTTTGACTTATGGTGTTTTGGGTGTCTTGTATTAAAAAATTATGAGAATTGAGAAATTTTCAAGAGTTTAGGTAGTTTTAAGGTTTCTCTGATGAAGGGTCTAGTTTAACTTTGAGAAATGAAATAAATAAGATTTTTGTTAATAGTTAAGTCTTATAAATTTAGTTTTTCATAATTTTAGAGTGATAAATTAGAGAGAAGTTCTCTAAAGTCAAAGTTTCCTTTTTCTTCCTCTAACCTTCTTAAAAGTGTGTGATCCTTCCCTCAAAGGGTTAAGTTGTTGTTGTTGATTTAAGTCTGTAAATTTGTGAATTAAAGCTTTGAGTGTACAGAGTTTTCTAAAGGAACTCGATTTCATTTTTTTTCTCCTTATCCCTTTGTTAGGATTTGAGGTAAAGGAAGTTAGAACTTGTCTTTGGTTGAAATACTTATAATTAGAGATGAGAATATATCAAATTAGGCTAGACTTTGAATATATAAACTATGTTTGTTTTGCAAAATTAAAGTCAAAGCTTAATCCATTATTATATATATAGATTTGGCATGACTTTTTTAAAACTTGTCCTAGCCTATTAGTTTATTTAAATTATTAATATTAATTAGGCCAATAAATTTAATTTTTAAAAATTAACAAAATTATTTTTAAAATATAGTTTACTCAATATTATTAAAATTAAAATTTTTAAAAAAATAGGAGAATGAATCATTTTCCATTGAAGGAACAATTTATTTGTAATCATGTATGTTGATATACACTCATGTACAGGTTGTAAGTTTATAAACCTATAATAAAAAATAATTATATAAACAATATTTTAAATATTGTTAATTTATTTTATTTTATTAATTTATTTGTTTATTTATATTTTTAATTATATATATGCATATATTATTTTATTATTATATTATATAAATAAATAGGCTGATTTATTAGGTCTAATAGGTTTTATTAAACAGATCAGGTCAAACTTTAAAGAGACTAAATCACAGACTCCTTATTTAAGGCCTAGCTTATTCTCATATCTACTTGTAATGCATATTGGTTGTTTTCATAAAATTGTTGTTATGTTGACTAGACTTCTTGAGACATGATTCTTTATTTGCTTGCGTTGCAGTCTTCATCTTCGTGTGTTGGTCCTGTGCATTTCAATCTTGACTTTTGCTTCAGCATTTGAGTTTAGTTCTTTGACTTTTCTTTGGTTTGATTAACAATGTGAATAGACAAACATTGTTTCTGAGTGTCTCTCAGTCTGTGCAGTCCTTCGTCTGATGCATAGTTGACTTTCTTTTGATCTTAGACATATGGTTCGTCTGATTTACGCTTTTAGGATAGTTGTACTAGACACATCTTTGTCTGAGTATTTTATGATCATCTGGCGCATATACATGTTCCAACTATTCTTCTCTTGACGCTCGACTTCCTACATCACTTGCTTTATCTGTCTCGACTTGTCTAGTTCGTGTCTTGCATTAACTATTCTTTATAGGCTTCGTATGATACTGCAGTGTCTCATTCTGGTGGTAGTCCTCTTTCGTCCGTGAGCAGACTTCGTTTTTATGCTTGATTACCCATCATCTGATTCTTTCATCTACTTTGTACAATCTTCATGGATTGTGGCATTTAATGCTTTTGATTTTGCATTTAATGTTTGCTTGCTAAATCTGCACTTCTCTGTAGACACTCAATTTTGTCTGGGGGCACACAAACAACAAGATAGGACATTAGAGGGCCCAAAAGCCCAAATCAATTGCTTTTCGTGGCCCGAAACGGGCCATTCTAAAATCAGAACGGGCCGTTCCCAAGTTCGGAACGGGCCATTCTTAAATTGGAACGGGCCGTTCCGAGACTCCTAAAATGCCTAAAAATTGTA